ACGTGTATCAGCTCACACTCTAGCTTTAGAAGAAGCTACCCCAAGATTTCATCCTGAGCTCCTCTAGGTAGAACTAAAACTTCGAATGTTGTTTGAACGAGTGGAAAAAGAAAAGATGAAGGAATGAACTTTAGTGTTATTGGAAGACGAAAGGTACAGCCGTCAACGCATTTTAAAACCACAGTGACCTTGACCAATCCTTTTATTAAAACCGTACAATTATGTGATTGACAGCGTCCACGTCGCCCTCTGCACCGGACAGTGCTGCTGTAGTTGGACAAGGAAAACTCAAAAACAAGACATTGTGGATCGTTATCGCCGCTGTAGCAGGCATCACACTTATCGCTATTATTATTATTAGTGTTATACTCTGTAAGAAGAGATCAGGAGATGACATTCGGAGGTAGTTATAAAATATTTGTTTATTAGATATTTCATTATTTATATGGTGTATTTTTAAAACCAGTGGAGGACTTTTTTTCCATGTTCACGTACTATTATTTGAACACACCCACCGATCAATGAGATCGCGCTTACTATCTTAAATATTTCCGAGTAAATGTTGGTATAGCCATCTATTTTTTATTTCTTTACTTATTTTTATTATATTCTATTTTCTGGAACCCAAAGTGAAGCGAGGTATTTTTGAAGCTCGACTAACACGGCACGATTCCTCTGTTGTCTGCAGAAAACCTCCAACATACAAGTCAGTTATTCAATCGAATGGTTCAACAAAGAAGAAGAACAAGGAAGAAAAACCACCAGATCTATGGATCAATCACACAGACAACCTTGAAATGAAACCAGTTCATCCTGTGGATCCTGCTCCAGATGTTACCAACATCACTCCGTCCATTCCAAGGTATATCGTACTTAATCGTTAAATTGTGTTTTAAATGCTCTGTATCTCCTGCTGTGTCTTGGTGGTGGGGTGGGTTTCAATTAACGTAGGCATTACTTAAGATTGCGTGACACAAATTTGTGATTAGGTTACGAAGAAAGACTACACTAACAGGTTTTTATGCTTCATTAACAGGAGCACTGGGGAAATGAAACCGCTGGATGACTCTCCTCTGGACCACATCAAAATAGATCAAGACAGGAGCTCTTTTCTGAATGGCAGTGAGGCGGATTGCGAGGAGTTTGATGACCTTCCCCCTCCTCCAAAGATGGACAGCGCGGGAAATCCCTACGTTGAATATCCCGAGGACAGCAGAACCTCTACACCTCCCCCTTCGTCCGGAATGTCACCCCTCTATCCCCCCCTCAGATCATCCACACCAGATAATGGTACATTGTTCTTTGGGACTGTTAAGTTATCTTGAATCTTTAAGCTATCATCATGTTAACGACTGAACGAAATCGTGATAGGGATAAACTTGGTGTAGGGTTTGTGAATAAACATAGATCAAACGCGAGTAGTAGTAGTAGTCAAGTAGAGGGTGACATATGACAGATACATCCGATAAACTAGTGGCCGTCTATCCTAATGATAGCAAAAGTTTACAATAATTAAAAATTATGTATAGCGTTTGATGTTCTGTAAACAACGAGTCTTCTTGTATAACCCGAGGATTACTAGCGAGTAATTTCTTCTTACAATTTAAATTCTTTAAACAATTAGATAATGAGAATAAGGAAACTATCATCATGGTGATAGTGCATGATTTGACGTCGAACTCTCAAAAATTAAAACCGTCAGAAATGAATATCGAAATCCTTGGAGTGAAGGGCCTCATTGTTTTCTCCTTGTCTTACAAATCACTAGTCTACCAGCCCATGTATCAAAAAGCAAGTACACCTCGTTATCAGATGCACCTGCCACGGACTGGCTCATGCGAGAACAACAGTCTTGATATAATGGATCCACGTCCACCGCAGAGATCCAGATCGTACGACACAGACTTCAGAGCTCCAAGTGCTAAGGTAGTGTGCAGCTTTAATATTACTCTCTCTTGTGATAGACGTTCCTCTGGTACTTTTCTCCCAATCCCCTACCCACGATTTTCTAGTTCTCCCCCTCTCCCCCCGCTTTGTCACTCGTCCTAAATCTTGTACCCGTCCAATATGGCTACTGAATATTCGCCGCGCTGAAACTCGCGCTTGAAAACACAAACTACCGCTTGCACGTCACATGTAGCTCCTGGGTTCTTTTTTAGCCCATCATTCCTTATCAAACCGCGCTCCGAGAATGTCTTTTTTCAACAGGTTATCCTTCAGGAGGAAGAGGGGAGGAGAGGGACGAAAATTGTGCATTCTTTCTCTCCTCTTACACACCCCTTTCCATCTCCATGTCCATACCACTACCCCTTACCAAATACAGAATGTTTTCTATCTGTATGATCTAAGTTGAAAACTTTGTCATTGGATGGAGGTATTGTTTAAAAGATATGCTTCATATCAAGGCCTCTGCAATGCTTGTAAGCAGATTTATTTGATCTTGTGGAATATGATTTAACTGGAGTCAAATTTTCTCACGCACGTAAGCCGTACTCGATCACCCTTATTAATAACATCCTTTGTGCCTTTGATAGGTACCAGTTTTTCCAATGCTTCACTCGTCTCCTCCGCCAACAGCACCAAAAACCAAAGCCAAACCTCCCGTGGCTCCAGCGGATGACATACAGTTACCTCCGGTTGGTTTTAACCGAAGGACGCCTCCGAATGGATACTGGACTCCACCACCGAAATATGAAGACATCTTCGCGCGCAGATCAAACCCGCCACCGAGTCGGCCATCATCGCCGCCCAGAGATCAGGTAAAGATATAAAGGAAGCGTATTTCGTTTGCTTTGATTCTTCCCCGTCGTCTTTCAAATTTTACTTACTGAGCTCATCGTTAAGAAGACTCTTTTTGACTAGTATGATTTTTGATATCTGGTCTTAGGCTCCCGAGGTATCGGAACTTGACAAAGAAATAGCAGGACTTGAAGGACTCATGAGAGACTTGAACGAAATTACTGCTGGTGATTACCAAATTTAACATGGTGCGTACCACTGATTGATGTCAATTACCAGGGAACCAATGGAAACTATCTGGAAATCCAGTAGTCCATTTTACAGTCCCGTGCTTGCTTCCCAAGCTTTTCAACAGGACTGAAGCTGTGGGTGACCGTTGTGAAGATACAAACGTTGCTACTCTTCAAATGTAAATTTCGTTCTCAGGATGCTAACAAGATACTGATCTCAATCACTACTAGGTCACCACCAGCCTCACTCCAAATCAAAGGCTTGGCAACTAAGTGCACAACTGTAAAATGGCCTATTGCAGAGGGTCACTGTTTGTTCACTGTAGTAGGCTTGTAGTTTTCGATCTTTTAGTCCATTTGAGGTTTTTGTTGTAGACGCGGCAAGCTGTTCAATTTATGACTGTTTCTCTTTTTCTCTGTTCTCTAGATGTTCTTAGGATTAGAAGAGCTTGAATAGTAGAGAATGTAGCAGAATTGCAATAGGATCATTCCTAGTGATGCAGTATACACATTCGGTCCACATGTGCAAGCATCAGTGTAAGGTCGGTGAAAAGAGTGGCTCTCACATCGGGAGTTATCAGGCCTTCCACGTAATCTGACGACAGAAAGACACTGAATCCCATAAACGACAGAGATTAAATAGCATTTCCCATTTATAAACAAAGAAAGTAAATTTATGTATCTATGTATCTACGTATTTTCAGCCCACTAATTATGATCCAGGCTCTTAGTTGTCACTTGAAACAGTATCCTACCTGGTCATCAAAAGAAATCGTGCAAAATATAGTGAACTTTTGTAATTTTGTGTCAAAGTTTGGGATTTGATTCATTTAACGTGAAATGAGATTATATTTCTATATTAATATGTTTTTGTGTACGTATGGGGACATAAATCCAATATACTTTTCTGAAAGTCAACTCTGTATTTTGTTCATAGAAGAAGTAACACTTGAGGACTTCTTCAAAGAGTAGCTTTTCATTTCAAAGCACTTTTGTCTTGACCACTAAAATCTCGGATTTCCAGATGTAATTAACCTGGTAATACTCGTAAGTGCATCAGTGGAGCAATCCTCAATCGAATATCTCAAGTAGTGCGGTATTGCTTTGGTATTGCTTTACCTCATTAGGCGATTGGTCCAGAAAACTCTTGCCGTTTTTTCAACCAATCGTATTCAAAACTTAAACCAAACGCGACTTTGATCAGTCATGATTTCCCGCGCTAGGAGCTATTTGCGTTTTTTCACTCCGAGTTCTCCTTGGCTACTCACGAAAGTTTTTCCTTGCAACTGATTGGATGTTGTGATTAGTTGGGCTTTAGTTGTTCACACTCAATGGAAAAGCGCTCCGTATCCCCATTCAAACGAGGGACAAAGAGCAAACTTGACAACCTCGTTGCTTCATTATGTTATTTTGATGTAACACCGAATACTCCGGGTTAAGTTACAAAGAAATGTATACCAGCAAGTAAAATTATGAATCAAATATCAGTACTGTCAGATTTAATCAATTATCGAAACCTACGATTTTGAAAAAAGTATACTTAAATACGGCGAGATAGTTAGAGAGTTGAGATGACTTAGCAACGTGGTGCTGCAGTTGATTTTACCATTTGTTCAAACGGGTGTCGGTACTTTTGTAAATAACGTTCCAGAGAGATAAGAGAACACGGTGATACCTCTGAAAAAGTAATTTATAGAATATGTTTTACGCTACCCTAGCGTTTTCTCGGTGGATCAAATTGTATAGCAGTGATTTATCATATAGTGAAGAACGAGAAGTGTGGGTGAAATGCTGAGAGGATTAGATGAGTTTTGTAGTAAAAAAAACAAAACAAAAAAAACCGGAAGTGCATGAATCAAACTGAGTTTTCAAGTTCTGTCAAAGTTATTTCGTAACGTAGATAGTAAGAGGTTTTTGTATTTTTGTATCTATAAATAAATATTTTTGGTAGGCTAGTCAGTTACTAATACGAGTTTGCCAAGCTATACATAACACATATATTAAAGTTTGCATGTGTTACGTTCGACGCCTGAACCTCTACACATCAGAATAAGAAACTTGTATGAAACAAAACAAAACTGAATAAAACTTTTAGGTATTTGTATTGAGGTTGTGTCCTCTGCGCCGAAGATTTTTGTGTTATTTAATTTCCTTTCTTCTTCCCATTAAACATCCAAATATGGGAATACTACTTGTTTCTGGGGATTCAGCCGCTAATCTCTTTCCCAGGCTACACTGAAACTGCGAAAGAGAGTGTTGTCTCGCTTTTTCGGTAATTCTTGGTAGCTCCAGGGACGAAGACTTACGCGAAAACTATCAATATCGCTCGAGGCGAACCGGCGGTTGCAATTGTTTCGCAAGTAGTTAACTCGGAGTGGCCTGTAACAGAGAACTGTGGCTTACGTAACTGCGGTTCTTCGAGATCAGCCGATCTTTTTTTTTTTTGTTTTTTTGCCGCTCTCTTTTGCGTCGTCTTAGTATGTATCCTTCTAAAGGAAGAGGAACCGAGCGACGTAATCTTTTTCGTTTTGTTTAGTCTTGTCTTGTAAGTTTCTCGCCAATTATAGACAAGAATTTGAGAGGGCGTGTGGACTTTCTGACCTCAGCTGGCAAATTAGTTAAACCAGCCTCTTTTATCCGCTCGTGATTCTTCGCTCTTAAACCAGACTCTTTCAAAAGACCTACGAGAATGTAAATATTAACTTGTAGTTCGTAGGTTTTAATGCCTTTGTCACTATTGTCTATTCGTAAATCCTGGAAGTCTGAAAAGTGCTAAGTCAAGCCGGATTTGCAGTGATCACTAAATCCCTTCAGTTATAAAAAAAAATCGAAACGCACAAGCTGATGGAGCGGTAACTCGTATTAAGAAAACTGTTTTATATCAAAAACCAACCGATATTTTGCAATTAATAAACTAACAGTACCTTAAAAGGAAAATATTCAGTGTTTGGCATACGCAGTCATTGTCAAGTGTGGAACATTTTGTAATAAGCGTGTCGATGAGCACAGCGGATATTGTAGTGAGAGAGCAACTTTCATCCATCCATCAAAAATAACTGACGTTGAATGAGGGGAAAGGAGCTAAAACACAGAGTTAGGGGACCTAGGTTCTCCTCTTATTCTGCCCTTATTTATTTACGTGCGCGACAAAACTGCATGGCTGTCGAGGTCCGTAAAGACATGACTGCCAGTTACAGAAAATGTCTTGTTATGTGTATTTAAAGTATCCTTTGCTATTTCATGTTTAATATAAGTACCTGGTATTGGGTTTGGAAAAAAAAAAATTCAACAAAAGGAAAAAAGTAGAGAGGATGACCGCCGGCAAAATTCCTAATAACGTTTTTAGCTTGGATTTCACATTCCAGTTCTTTCGTACGCATTGGTCCAGAGTTTAAACACTATGATGACTCATTTCCGGTTGGGCGAGAAACATATCAGACGTGTTTTCATGTGGAACAATTGCATTTTTATTCGAATAGAGTGACGATATTTATTCAAATGATATCTTGGAAAAAAAGGGCATTATACTTTGTGTTTGATGAGGACAACATTTCTTCATGGACTTTTTTGAGAGTTCGAAAAATAAATGTACATAACTTGTGATCTATCGACAATTCGCATCATAGGAAGTGCTGTTGACAAACGGAATTTGTAAACATGCGGCTCGGCAGAACAAGGCACCAGTATGTGATTATCAAATCTACAAGTCACAAAAATGACATTCTTTTACGATGATTAAATCATGGTATCTGTTGACATTTCTAATCGGACCCGTCAAAAATTTCGCTGAATTTCCCCGGCACGTAGAATGTTAAGTTGGGGTTAGGTCAAGGCCTCGATTAATTTTGAACATTGTGCCCTAAGGGGACATTTTGAGAAACATCAGTTTTCTTTCTCTGCCGTTTGAATTTAATTTTATTCCTGCTGAATCCCCGTTGTTTTCGATTGTGTAAATAACCAGCTCAAATAACGAAATAACGTAAAATCCATGTTCAGGATTGAAGAATAGTTTTAAATTTTAAGTTGAGCTCGACGATCTTTTGCATAAAATGATTTCTGATTTTTTCTTCCAAATCGAAATTTACGATAAAAACTCGATTCGGTTTAAAGCGAGTCTTTTGTTTCAGAAGCGTGAAATTGACTAGAATTGTAATTGACAACGAAACCTACGATTTTGTTAACGCCAATTTGTTGATTATAATTTTCAAAGACTTCGACAATATCGCAAATTCAAATGCTGTACCGGATTTGCCTTAAATCTATGGTTAGGTACCTCCAGGCATTCTATTTGGCCTGCAACTTGAAGAGGTCGTTGGAATTTCGTCACTTGGCTTGTTAATTATTTTGCAGGCAATGCAGCTGCATATTTTTGAAACCGCTCCATTTCGAAGAATCTATGAAATTCTCGCATCGAAACGTATCGAATAACAGTGATCTAATGTAAAAGTAATTTTATTGTATTAATTCATCCCCCGTTTCCAAGAGACCTTACGTGCTGCGAAGGATGTAGCGAAAATATAATTATCGTTCATGCAAACGTGAGAATATTTATACGAAATACTTCGTAACAGTGAACCAAAAATTTGCGCATATTTTTTCATTGTCTTGAACTTACTCGGCGGGGTACATTGCTCTTTTCTCGCCTCTGATTGGTTAAGAAACAAAGCAACAATTAATTCTGGATTGATTGACGCGGAGCCACTAGGAAACGACGCGAACGAAGCGAAGCACGAATGCGAAGATGGCTGGTGCGTTAAAGCCATACCAAAGTGCTTTACTTGAAAATCGAGACCTTATTCTGAGAGACGTTCGAACAAACGAAGTTTGTCCGCTGCTGTATGTGAGTGGTGTGCTAACTCAGAAAGAAATCGATGGTATAAACATTGGGCGGACCCCTCAGGAACGTACGGAAAGCTTGCTTGACTTACTCCATTACAAGGGTCCGACTGGATTTCAAGAATTGTGTGTTGCATTAGAAGACTCGCATCCTCACTTGGCAGCCAAGTTACGGGCCAAGAATCCGCAAATTGAGGTTTTAGGTAAGCTGTTAACGACTGAGTTTCTCTCAGTGGGATTTAAAACCCTCGACACGCTTGCAAGAGCATAAGCTTTGCAAAGTTTGTGCCATCGAACGCTATCCCAAATTGTTCTCATGAATTTTCTTTAGGCGACAATTAGTTTTTGTTTTTATGCAGGTTTTTTCGTTGTTACGAATTTATTAATATATGCAAAACAACCTTCCATCGTATCTATTGGTTTGAATTATGACACCATAATTATAATATCCTCCATATGTTCATCTAAGCTCAGGAAATTCGTGTTCGCTCAGTTGTTTTCACACATTTTCAGCTTGTATTTGTTGTATTCTTTCAGAGGGCAAACCGAGAGACTCTTATCCACGGTATTCCAGTCCCCAGAGAGTTCGAGATTTTGAGCAGCGAGAAAATAATAATAACGAAGTTTATCACGGCAAACGCGACTACTACACACCCGAAAGAAACTTCCGCTTAGAGGAACAGCCGCGTAAAGAGATGAGGGGAGAAGAGCAAATGCAAAGAGGGAGAGATTATTCCTACGATAGGGGAAGAGAAATGTCTCAATATATCACAGAAAAGTACAACGAAGGACGAAGCTACGTAGAAAATGACACTGGAAGTGAACGTAACTATCGAAAGTCGGTTGGCGATGCTAGCGTAAGTTTGATGTTGTATTCTCTCGTATTCTTCAATGCTCATTCTACTTGCTACATTTAATATTACATTTATTATGCCGAGTTCTCTTCATCGTTACACGAAAGAGTTGTGCTTTCTGATTAATCTTGTGTGACTGACGGGCTTGGTTCTCTTCGAATTTGATATGTGTGTAGGTCGATGTTGTTGTGCGAAGTTGACAATGAAATATTTTCAACACTTGGAATTTCGAGTATGCGTGTTTGTAAGCGTGGTTTAGTGGGGTAAACGTACACATCAGCTAGTTACCACACAGCCTAGGTCATATCTAAAATTAGCGTTATACAATCATTCGAACAGGCAATAGTGAAATAACTGCATTGAAAATAAAAATATCATTATCTTTCTGAGGCGTTGTATATCCTCAAGAAGCTTAGTAGTATTAGCTTTTATAGTGCCGCTGAACGTTTCAACTCGTGTGGCAAATCGTATCAAAAGGTCAGTTTTTCATGACTTGATTGAAGTTTATTAGGTACAATTTAGCTGCTGAATATCCAGGTTGACTTTGGCCCGTTTTTCTGTTGCAGTTTTTTTAACTTAATTATAGCCGTTTTCGGATACTGCAAAAATAATATATTTGCAAGAAATTTCACGATGGAAGCTTCCATGCATGTGATGTCATACATTGCTCACGAGTGTTATTGGAAGGTCTCGATGATCTCCAATTTAAAAGCCCTACGTATAAGTAACTCCAAAATTTATTGCTGTTGTCCTTCCAGCCATTTTACATATACCCCGCCTTTTCAAGCTGCAGTATTTGGTTCTCTGTATTTTTTCCGTTTTCCCTGGAATTATCGGAGCGAATCTCGAATTTGAATCATAGACTTCTAGTGAGAAAACCCTCGGATGATAGTGTTAATGTGTCTTTCCCTAAAAAATGTTATTGTTAAGCAACTCTGAAGGGTTTAAATCTGCAAAGTCGAATATATTTTCATGGTCGAGTAGTCTTTCTCCCTTCTGTTGGATTGAGGTCGGGTAGATCCAGTTTCAAAGGGGACGAGAAGTCAGTACAAATTATTTTATCATTTGTACCTATCAAGAAAGAATGGTTTTGAAAGTAAACAGGTCCTATACAAGCGTTTCAATGGTATCTTTTAGTATATGGTTTTGGTGTGCTTTCTTCTTGAAATCGCGCATCATGGCTATATTAGTCCGCGTCTCCTTTGTCGCGGAGTTCTGTTTTCGGCAAGGTAATTACTGTTGTTCTTTTGTTTACACGGGCACGAAGGGAGCTTGCTTGCTTCAGATGGTGCATTAATCCAGCCGCAGGAATATATTCGTGGGTCATAAAAAAATGGATAAATGTCCTATATTTCATTGCGGAATTAAAAGTATAATCCGAATGTTTTGTTTCATGGTCAGTTTGTTTTACATCTTTT